ATGGCTGCTGATTTGCCTACCAGAAAAAGGACTAGTTGTCGTTATAGCTTAGCCATATCTCCAAATCTAAGAAGCTGTGCTGCAATAAATGTTTCTTTATTGTTCAATGTTGCCCACTGTTAACCATGCAACTCCTTACGCATTGCTCAGAAATGTAGTTCTCTTGCAAGAGGTTCAGGCATGTGGCAAGTCTGAGGAGTTAATGCTACAGCTGAGAGGAAAGTCCTGAGTAAAAACAATGCTTTGAGATGCACAGCTAACCCCTCTGCCAACAGCTTTCCTGCAGAATATATCGAGTTACCTTCAGAAGGTAATGCAAACAAAGCATCTGTTTAATTATATTTACCACTGTTAGGTAGATACACACCAATATATAAGTGAACAGACTCATTATGCCACACTAACATTAAGATAAATGGCTGCTCTGCAGTTTTAATGCACTACTTCATTCTGTGACTGCTCTATAAAACCACTCTTTTAATTTTCAGCAGTAGCTCAACTTCAGAGCAATTAATTCTAAGCTATTTTCCTCAACCCATTTTTTGTTCTGGGAAACAAGTTAGTATAATGGTGCATTTTCTTCCTTATGCCAAACACTTGAAAATGTTCATTTTTTGTCACTGGATTTTTTTTTTCCTCTAGTTTTTTTAATCACTAATAATACTTTTATTCAGCTCTACGTCTCCTTAAGTAGTACCTCTAATATTCTTTTGAAACAGATGGAATGAATAATTAGAAGCACATTAATTACTCTCACATGAATTGGAAGGTAGAACCATACATAGACTTCATAAAAAGAATTGTATTGAGAAAGGTTATCACTCATTTATTTCAAACTGTAGTCTATTCCTACACTAAGAAAAAAAATTGAAATCAGTTAAGGTAAAATTTCAGATTCCTTTGTTAAAGATGTTACTTTCTTTAAAGTTTTCACATTCCAGTTTTTAAATGTTCAAAACAACATCAAATTCTGTAAGAAGTTCAGGAAATATGATCACCACCTCTTAGCAGGGGCTCAGGCAACGCACACTGCTAAAGATGTACAGAGATTAAAGTGACCATTTACTTCTGAATCCAAGATTCCAGTAACAATTGTTTTACTGTCATCCCAACAAAGAATAGCAGTGACAGAAAAAGTTTTCCAAAGAAAAAATTATGGAAGAGTTCTCCTTTCTCAAGATTAACACGTTTCTAAGTTACAAACTCATCAGGATTTAACTTCAGAAAAATGAACATGTGAAATGCCTACTGAGTAAATTACTCTCTCACTACATGAATCAATTAAAAAAAAA